CTCGTTTGATTCGAACTCGTTTGATTCGAACTCGTTTAATTCGAACTTCCATAATTTCAGCCTCCATATTCAAACTCCATAACCCACCTCAACTAAGCGAACTGATAATTCGAACTCCTTTAATCCCTTAATTTTCCCTTAATTGGCATTGCAATAATTTGAACTTCCATTATTATAACTACCATATCTCAAACTTCAAACTCATTATTCGAAAACTCGTAACTTCTCCTTCCACAACGACCTTCCAATTCGCTTCCTCGCAACTCGCACCCAATAACTCGGCATACCATTATTCGAGTTACCATAACTAAAGATTTCATAAGTTGAACATCCATAATTTAAACTTTCAAAACTCGAGCTTCCATAATTGGAACCGTCATAAAGTGATACTATTTAACTCACATCGCCATAATTAGAATCAACAGAACTCGAACCTACCCAACTGCACAAGTTGACCTTGCATAATACAAACGTATGCAAGTCGTACCTATAAATGTCGAACCTACAAAACTTCATCGCAAACATTTCGGACCTATACAACTCGGACCCACATAATATTAAGTAAATGTTCGAATTTACCGATAACTTGAGTTTTATTGTACGATTCCTGCACGAAGCAATGGCTGTGACGACGTCTAGCATCGAGCTCCACCAAAAGGTAAGTACTTACCCCATCTCGTCGCAATTTTGATATTTAATTTGTGTCCATTACTGACCATGCACTTGAACAACTTACAAGGAGTTCTTTCAGAATTAGGTCATATTATGCGGGAAAGTCTGAAGCCTCATGATAACCGAAATAGATAACTGAAAATTCGATTACTCTAACATAACGATTTTTGAATAAGATTTTACGATTACCATTTTTCAAGACATCATCGTTGCTTGTTTTTTCGATGATCGGATAGAGAGTGAATGATCATACTGAACCAAGGATTGAAAATCGCATTTTTTTTTTAAATTCTGTGTTATACTTTTTATTTCAGATCCTGAGTACCACAATTCCAAAGTTAAATATAAACCTTAAACAAGTGTAGGAAGACAATATTAAATGCAGCTATTCGAAAATTCAGGGTAATCTTTGTGTGGCAAAGTTGTTCAATAGAGAAATATCCATTCCGGTGCAAGTTTTAGCGTGAAAAGACCACAATTCTTCTCTCCTCAATTACAAAGTTGACAATGGTTATTTTTATATTTACATTTTCTAAATTTCGATATAGAGCTGATTTCGTTTACTCCATACTTGTTTTCGAAGAAGTCGAAATAACGGTGACTTCTTTGGCAATTTTTTCCGAAGACTGCAGAAACACCTGAGTCATCTTGACTTACATATCTTCGATCACTCATGTTCTGCATTTGAGATCTTCACGTGCTTTGAGTACGTAAAGTTATAATTATATAGTTTCAACTAAATATCTTACCAACCTACATGACGAAGGAGACTGAATCACTGACCAAATAACTCAGTCCCTGAAGTTGGGAGTATCTATGTATGTGTGTTTATGTACTGGTAATGACGTGGTTGGTATCTCGTGTAACCACGTATGGTATCTAACCCTTAATTACATTAATAATTATTTATCCCTCATGTTTTATCATATCCTTTAATTATTATGATAATTGTATCATCATTTGATGAATATTGTTGTAACTGCATCTTTACGCTTTGTGAAGTTTAAAAATCCTTCGAACTCGTATTGTTATGTCGGAGTACATAACACATTCAAGGATAGAGAAGCCTGAGGTGTAGGTACAGTTAGCAGCTAAGCAAATGAACATCAACCAATTGATAGTATACTGTTTTCGTAAATGGCTAAACTGATCGCGACTCACGAACTTGCAGTATTGTACTAGTATTCCGAACCAATGCTACATGTTGAAGTCCAGCGAAAAGTATGAGTGTTGTTAACATACGATAGTGGCATGTTTGACTTTTCACACCACCACGAACCTCATCTGGACAAACCTATAAAGCCCATATACAGTATTTCATCTTATCATTATCATACACCTCTCATACTGGCTAAGGTGATTCAGGAACTTGAGTCACTACTACCTGGGAGGTTTTAGGTTTCGAGTCACGACGGTGGCGAGATTTTTGACACCAGCTAGGCAGCTAGGTCGAATTTAGCTAATCGCTGTGTGTAGGTGAATCCTAGTGGCCGGCTGCTCTGATCGGTAGTTTTCTGTGGATACTCCGATCAACACCTGGCAAATGCCCGGCAAGTGGGATAACAATTTCTTATATTTTTATCAGATCTAAAGGGGGATAAATATCTTACGAAAGGATTTATTATTGGATGAAATCTAAATAGGCTTTAGCTGTTTGACAAAAAAATGCTCGCATGCCGGAGTAGTAACCTAACAAACGGGCAACAAACCGCGCGCGATCTTTCCTTCTTCATCCTTGTCCTAACCTCATCTCTTACTTACGCACTCACATCCACTACACTATCCCACCTCTTGGAGGATCAAAACTTAAGAGCTTCTGTCGGCTGGGGCGGTGCCGCGCTAGTGGGAGATTCTTGAATGGAAAATTCCCATAAGCCGACATATGTCTGCGCCCGATCCCGTTATCCAGGGGGAGGTTTTATCTCCTGCGATAAACCGACATGCACTACGCTTACGGGTGTATTAGCCTTAGCAGTTTGACGGACCTGGAATCACTAATCAAAGAAACAAACAAATACACCTCCCATGATTTCTGTACCATCAGTGAAATGAAAGATGGACCACCACTGAGATCCCCTGCGTAGAATAGATTAGTTCTAAGGACTTAATATTCTTCCCAGTTCTATTCTGAGGAATTCATACATAAATTCAACATAATGCCTCTTACGTAGAAAAAAATCTGTCATACCGCGCGATGTGCGTTTGAGAATAGTGCGGACTTAACAGCCCCAAAGCTGTATTGATCTCTCTGAAAAGAACCCGCAAAAAAACGCACTGTTCTCCGTCACGATTTCTGGGTTCTGGAAATTTATGAACGGCGTGATCCTTGCAGAGGTGGTACAAATGTCGCTCATTTCAAAGAGATTACCTTCATAAGACCGCTGTAAATTTTTCATTTCCCTTCACCGCGGAAGAGGAACAGGAAAAAAAAGAAGAGGAAGAAAAATAGGAATAAGATGACACGGCTTATTGATTTCATAAAATGCAAAGGATTGGGTTTTGTACGATGAAATTGATGTTTCTGATGTTAATAGAAATAATATTTATTGTTGCTATAAATATTGTGACGTGATACAACTATTTGTAGACGTGAGTGTATACGAGTACACTGGACCTTAGAATATTAGGCGGGCTATTGAATCTGATGAAACTGATAGAATTGTACATACATTATTTGTGAAACCGTTTAAATAAAAACGAGAGTGTTTTTTGCGAATCAGTTGTGATTATTAATATAATAAAATGAAGGAAAGTTATCGATTTATATCCCCTGTCATAATCTACCAAAGAACACCTTTTTTTACGTTCTATTACGTAGTCGGAGCATTGTACCATTACATATTACTTTTAATTGGCAACGCAAGTTCTGTAATTTAAAAAAGCGAATACTTTACGTACAGGTCTAACTAGTAATAACATTTCATTAGACAGCCACTCATAAAAGCGGTTGTTTCAGGGCTTGCATTGTGTGCTAACGGTATAATTTTCAACACTAGTGGTAGTAGAGAGACGACGTAGTTACTATAGTCTTAAGATAAATCTGCGAATACAACTGAGAAAACAAAATACTTTCATCTAACCGCGTCAACTGCTTCTGAGGTTAATGCATCATAGAGTGATTTGTGTGCTTGATTTAAAGTAAAAGAAAATCAGCATGGCTGTCTAAAAATAGTGGATGACACAGGTGATAAAAGTGATTGTATGTTTCTCTTAGGTTTGCACTATTTCCATTATATCGGGTCATGATACGGCATTTCGTACTTGCAATGTAAAGTGAATTACAGTGAAATGCCAGTTCAATACAAACATTCAGTACAAATTTAGATTATAGACGTTCTTCTTTTTCTTCACGTAATTTCGTCTTTTATAAATCATCAGTGATTATTAATGTTTTATGAATAATTACTTATTACTATATTTATTATTATTATTACTATTATTATTATTATTATTATTTTTACAATTATTGTCATACCATTTGCATGAAATGAAACTACATTATTTACGTAAATAACTGCCACTGAGTGGTCAATTGCAGTTTCAATAAAATTATCTGATCTCTTCTCCCAAAATAAAATGTCGCCGGAGACGTAAACGAAGATGGTCACAATACAGAAAAGAGGAGACCCCTTGAGGGCTCCACTTTGCGGTAGGACAACCTTAACGGCAGCGTCGCTGCCCGCACCGCGTCCAAAGCCCTCGGTTACGGCTCGTAAACGACGCAGCAGGCCCACGTGCTGGAACAAGGCGACGTACAAACGCTGTGCGGCCCACGGAATGGACGACAGGAAGAGGGAAAACGAGTGATAGAATCAGGGCCGGAGTTACCTACAAGCAAAACAAGCAGTTGCTTGGGGGCCCCCCATTCACCAGGGGCCCTGCGTTTCGGAAAAATACGCATACCATATTTTTTTGTCAGTGAAATAATTGTTAATCAAGTAGTCTCCTGTGTAACAAAATGTACAATTCCAAAACATTTTTAAAAAATATTTATTACATGTTAATTAGTCTAATATTAACTATACTTTATTTCCTTTACCTATAACGGAATATGTAAAATTGTTATGTCTCATGACTATGTCACAAGAAAATTTAGTAGACCTAAGTATCCTGAGTATGGAGCATGATAAGCTGTGAAATCTTCGTTTTGAAGACATCATCGACCAATTTTCTGCAGTGAAGAGCAGAAAAAAAATTATGTAAAATGTATTTAATGTAAAAAAAATGTAACACAAGTAAAAATTTCTATAAAAAATTATCAGTTTTTATTTTTATCTGTACAGAAAGTACTTGTACTATAATACATTTTTTATTTAATAAAGATGGAACTATTTTTTCGGAGGGGGCAACACAATTTTGTGCTTGGGGCCCCGCACTACTTAAATCCGGCCTTGGATAGAATAATTGTTTGTACCCCAGTGAAATAACACTCCGAAAGCAGAGGATTCCGCGGCCGGAGCAGAATCTTGAAATGGCATTTCGCCCTGAGGAAGGTATAAGCCTGGTTTTACTGCCTAAGGTATTGCATGCATTACTGGCTAATCGTTGGCATCTGCAATTTAAAAAAATATATTTTACGTCAATAACCGTTAAAAACTGTGTGTGGCGTGAGACGGGGAGAAGTGTGTTGTTAGTTCTGGCTTCCATATGTTTAACCATACGTAAGTTGAATTTTGAATACCGAAAGAAATGAGCGTTCTTGGCATTTTCAACAAAATATTCTCTCCGATGTAAGAAAATATATTTTCAAGAGGAAATCAACTATGCATATGGGCTGTTATCTTCGTCATGTCCTTCGTGAAGAAATATACTTTTTTGCTGCGACAAAATGGAGAACTATAATGAATAGCTGTATTTCTCACTGGACTGTTACATTTATGTCATTTAACTAATAAATTAAGAAGCGGCGTCTTCTGGTCAGCCAAATAGATAAAGAGGGCCCAGTTTTTATTTATTGTCTGAAAATTGTTTAAGATTAGTCGTGAGACAATACTTATGTTTGTTTGAATAAAGTGTTTGTCGAATCTTTTGAATATCATGATTCTTTTTGATTTTTCATTTGTTTATTAAATCATTTATTGTTGCTTTACAAACAACTAGAATTGTAAGCGACCACTTTTATTAGACAAGCAAGTGAAACACATTTTTTAGACTTCCACTAGTAAAAGTGTATACGCTTAGGTCATATAAAGCGATATAAGAGTTCAATCTTTTACACTAGTGTGAGGTTAATGACGAATATTCATACAAAACATTGTGATTGCAGCATATAAAACAAAATATTTCGTCTGTCATCTTTGCAAGGTTTTACAGTTACTACTGGCCTTAACGTAGCGTGGTACACAGTTAAACAAC